CCCCAACCCTACTTTTTCTGTTTTAAGAGGTTCAGATATAAAAGCAAAAGTCATTCTTGGTATAATGTTTTCTTCAGGTAGCATTTAGACCGATGACTATGAAATTATGTTGATACTTCCACGTATTACGGAGGAGACTTCAATTTTTTCACGGGGAATGTTTAGAATTGCCACAGAGTAGCTTTCAATTTGCTTCTGACTATCAAATGAAATGAAATGTGAATAACATTTTTCAATAACACAATAACCTAACTATCAAGCTTGACGTTTCAAATCTTGTCAACAGCTTTATCAAATCTTCAAGCCTACTTCCATACTCGTTTTGATGTTCTTCAACTCCAATCATTCAAGCATGTTATCCTTTACATATCTTCCTGGTTCCAATAATACTCATACCCCAAGAAAACCTTCTAATGTCATTGCTATGTTAGTAGGAAAAAAACACTAATTAGCAAGATGGATAAGTTGTGTTAGTTTACATCCATTTTCAATTTTTCTCACCTAGAATTTTCAACTTAATGTATTTTGCCAGAATGGAATTGGAACTTCTTATTTTTGTTTTGATGTCTTCCCATATTTTCCTTTTTCTTCTGATGGTTAGTTGTCGTTGCTCCATTGTCTACAAATGGTTGTTTGATGTTCGAAGGGTTCAATATGCAGCCTATATTTCAGAATGAAAATGCATGGGCACCGGAACACACACGGTTTGCTGCTGTAGATGCAATATATGCCGAAAATGACAAGTTTTCCCATTAAGAAAATAGATAACGAGCTGTGATGCCTATGTGATAGGCCTTGATCACATGGTTGAGTTCATCCATTATTGGTGGCTTAATTTCCTTGAAATAGTTGGGTTATCTGGTATGTAAGATGCAGAACTGGGTCCTATTACCAGAACTGTCATAAATGGAGTATAATCGTGGGAGACCTAACAATGTCTCATGAACAATATGCTAAGTAGCATTTATTTAAAATTGATAAAGTAATATGCTTGAAAATATATCATTCTCTCTACTTATCTACTTTAATACTTTGTAGATGATATGGGCCGCTGATTTTGATGAATCCTTAGCTTGTAACCTGGATGAAAATTTCCCAGAAGTATTGTTTATACGGTTACCAAAGGAAACAGAGGCTGAATCAGGAGAAGAAACCGTGGATAGTAACGGTGGTGGTCCATCGAAACATAAATCTGTAGAACGCTCCATCTCTGAAAGCAGTGTGTTGGGGATCCTAGGAGTTCAAACAACCAAAAACAACAATCAACAAACAAGATTCAAGTCAAAATAAAAGAAAAACGGGAATGGAAAAATACAACCCCTTTATTCTGCCCATTTCTGTCCAGCTTCTTCTTCTTCTGCCGGCTGCTTCTTCTTGGATTTATGGATGTTTTTCCAGGCTCAGGAACAGCCCCATGCTATGCCAATTGCCTTCCAAAGAGAGAGGGGAAAAACCAATGAAGAACCACCACCCTTTTCAATGAAAAAACTGAGAGCTCCTACTGCTGCTGCTGGGAATTAAAAACGAGAGCTGCCCCCATATTTTATATAAAATGGTAGAGTGTACATAATGAAGGGGTAGGAAGAAAGACCATGCCTCTGCCAAAGGAAGGGAAGACCTTATTGTGTCAACCTCACTCCCATCAACTCACAACATTAGGTGGTGGGGTTAGGTGAACCATATCTTCACATTCTTCACCTTGGTTCTCCTAACACTCTCTCTTGGTTGCGAATTTGCACATGGAATAACTGTTCATCATCATCGCCCACCACCTGCAAGAAAAATTAACCAGTGTCAATGTGTAATAAAGATAAGCACAATCTAAATTTACTTGCAGGTAGAATTTTTGTTCCCATATCAGAGGGATTCCTATCAGTGTGAATTTTAACAAGATTAACTTCGCCTTGAGACAGTTTCTCACGTATAAAATGATACTTTACCTCAATATGTTTAGTTCTTTCATGGTAAACAGGATTTTTACAAAGCAATAAAGCACTTTGACTATCAGTAAACATAACAGGTGTATCATGCATGAAGTTCAATTCTTTTAAAATTCCTTTTAACCAAATACAATTTTTTTTAGAGCTTCGGTTATAGCTACATATTCAGCTTCAGTGTTGGATAGTGTAACCAAAGGTTGCAATTGAGATTTTCAAGTTATGCAATTGTCTCCAAGAGTAAAGAAATAGTCTGTAGTTGATTTTCTACTACCTTTGTAACTAGCAAAGTCAACATCTACATAAACCTTAAGGGTTAAAGATTTCAGTTCTTCTCTAATACACTAGACCCAAATTTAATGTCTCAACAATATATCTCAAAACCATTTCATTCTAGCCCAATGGTGCTTACCAGGGTTGGTGGTGTGTTGTCGTAGGCAACCAAAAATAAAACATATAATCCTAGAAATCTAGGTAATAGTGCGAGTAAGGATCGTTCACACAAAAAGTGTCTAATCTAACTTTATGCTATGTAAACAATGAAGAAGGTTTTTTATTATAACACAACCAATCTAAAGAAAATAACTAATAAGCAATGCTAATTGACGGATCGAAATAAATAAAAAGAACAAACCTTGATCTAAGTTAACATCCACCGTCAAAAGTTCACAACTGATCATTGATCCATATATAAATATCAATTCATATTTTTAGCATTCATCATTGGAATTAATTTCCTATCTATCCTTAATTGTAGTTAATTAGAAAACAAGCGATCCAATTAACCTTAATTACTAGACAACCTAAGAAATGTGCTAAGGTTTAATCTAATAACAGCCCTAAGAATTAGAGAGATCGATGAATATAAATAATACAAGCACAAGTGGTTATATTTGATCTACTCATACGTTCGTCCCAAGATTTAACAATTTCTAACGCAACAAGCCATTAAATCCTAGTTACTTCACTAGTTAAATGAATCAAACAATTACGGATTTGATATTAATCAATCAACAGATTGTAGCATATAATAAATTAGTAGGCCTCCAAGTAATTAAACACAACAATTATGAAAATACATGTACCAGTCTTAGTAGACTAGATCATATGGTTGTCTTAATCTAAAAGCATGTTTGGAAGTGATTATAAATGGTTTAAATTATAAATAGATAGAAATAAGTGGTGGATAAATGACTAGTATTTGTGGGTCCTCAAAATCTGTGAATAAAAATGGCTCGAGCGTTTAGAAACTGTTTATAAATTATAAACATCGGTCAAACATAAGCTAAGTTACAAATCTGCAATACAAGTGTGACTGTATGCTGGTGTGGATGTGCCTGAGAATTGGTAAAAAAAAATCTCTTTAAGTTTAAGAGCGTCTTGAGAACATCTATTTCATGACATTAATATATCATTTTTACTCATTTTTTAGTTCTAATTGAGCATTGAGCGTTTTTTTTTAGCCATAGACAGTATGAAAATCATATTTGAATATGATAACCCGCTGCATATGTGAACGCATTACTGATTCGAATTAGGTGTGTTGTGCCAGTGGGAGAGCTGCAAACTTTGATACCTTGGTTTCGTGGAGAGTGGTGACCAACATTCATATTTAAAGCATGTTTAAGCTATAAATAGATAGAAATAGGTGATGAATGAGGGGGTAGTATTTGTGGGTCATTTGAAAATGAGTAGATAAAATGGCTTGAGTGTTTATAAACTTGAGCCAAACGTAGGCATTTGTCTATCTTCAGGGGCAAATTTGACCAAAAATGAAATGGCAAATTTGTAAATTCAAAACTGAGTGTGCAAAGTGTGTGACTGAAGTCTGTAGCAAGAGATTCTTTCTTTTTTTTTTTTCCTCTTTATGATTCGGTTGAGAAAAAACCGTGGAATTTTATGAAAATTCAAATAGTTACACAAGTATTAAAAACATGAAATACTTCCTACATCTGCATCTGACCTTATCTTAAGATCTTAAAGATTCTAAGCAAATTGAGCAAGATGCACAGGAATTATTATGGTTACCATTTGATCAGTTGGGAGTTGAAGAATTTCTTTAATAGATACCATATTCTTGGTGTAGCATTCAGTGGGCATCTCCATTGAAAATCAGTCCTGTCCTTTTGAGATTTGTGTGTGGCCCAAAGATTTTGATAAGCATTTAGCATAGCACAAGACTAAAGGAATTTAGATGAAAACTATGGCAGCTATATATTTGACAGAAGTTAAGAAATATAAAACATATATTGCTTCTTTGTCTAATGTCGAACAATTATGGAAGAGGAATCTATTAGAGTCGCTTAAAAATTGTGTCATTAAAAACAAATACTGTAGGTCACTAGTTTGTGTTTCCAAATTGTAACATGTTTGAATCATGCTCCTACTTTTAGAAAATAGCCATATTAATCATCTTCATGAACTTGCTTGCATGACTATACATATGAAGTTTTTGAAGTGCTTAACAAAGTTTTTGAAGTGCTTACTCCTCGAAGGTTTGGATGTTGAAGTGGGTCATTTCTTGTATGTATGCGCTCAAATGTGTTAATTTCTTCTCTGCCAATTTTTCATTATTGTGAAATAGAATCCTTTCAAGGATGGAGTATTAGGCATAGATTTGGCCAGATCTTCATGTGAAAGTTTTAGAAACAAGTGACGGGTTTAGTTAATCGTTGGCATGTTCAATTACGCTACTTGATGATTGGAGCTTAATTTGGGTATATAATTTGTTGTTTCGAGGAATGCTATCACAACGGACTACTCATTATATGTTTCTCGTGCCAATGTTTTTTAATGTCCGTTATTTGGTGTGCAAAGTGGGTGACTGAAGTCTGTAGCAAGAGATTCTTTCATTTTTTTTTCCTCTTTATGATTCGGTTGAGAAAAAACCGTGGAATTTTATTAAAATTCAAATAGTTACGGAAGTATTAAAAACATGAAATACTTCCTACATCTGCATCTGACCTTATCTTAAGATCTTAAAGATTCTAAGCAAATTGAGCAAGATGCACAGGAATTATTATGGTTACCATTTGATCAGTTGGGAGTTGAAGAATTTCTTTAATAGATACCATATTCTTGGTGTAGTATTCAGTGGGCATCTCCATTGAAACTCAGTCCTGTCCTTTTGAGATTTGTGTGTGGCCCAAAGATTTTGATAAGCATAGCATAGCACAAGACTAAAGGAATTTAGATGAAAACTATGGCGGCTTTATATTTGACAGAAGTTAAGAAATATAAAACATATATTGCTTCTTTGTCTAATGTCGAACAATTATGGAAGAGGAATCTATTAGAGTCGCTTAAAAATTGTGTCATTAAAAACAAATACTGTAGGTCACTAGTTTGTGTTTCCAAATTGTAACATGTTTGAATCATGCTCCTACTTTTAGAAAATAGCCATATTAATCATCTTCATGAACTTGCTTGCATGACTATACATATGAAGTTTTTGAAGTGCTTAACAAAGTTTTTGAAGTGCTTACTCCTCGAAGGTTTGGATGTTGAAGTGGGTCATTTCTTGTATGTATGCGCTCAAATGTGTTAATTTCTTCTCTGCCAATTTTTCATTATTGTGAAATAGAATCCTTTCAAGGATGGAGTATTAGGCATAGATTTGGCCAGATCTTCATGTGAAAGTTTTAGAAACAAGTGACGGGTTTTAGTGATCGTTGGCGTGTTCTGTTATGCTACTTGATGATTGGAGCATAACATGGGAATATAATTTGTTGTTTCTAGGAATGCTGTCACAACGGACTACTCATCATATGTTTCTCGTGCCAAAGTTTTTTAATGTCCGTTATTTAAGTTTTAGTTAATGGATAATGCTATTTGCCATCAACCTATGTGACAACATACTGACATTAAATGATATGTCCAGTTAAACGCTGGGATATGGAACGTACATGATGATCCATTAGCATTATTCTTATTAGTTGGGATACATTACAAATTTATGCGATTTATGCTTTTCCCTTTTCTCCTCAGGACTGCAGTGGAAAGTTTGCTTTACCTCGCATAATATGCTCAAGAACACCACATACAGGTTAGGATAGTACAGAAGATTTCGCGAGTTTCATGTTTTGGAGAGTTATTTATGTTAGAAGTTATAATACAGTAATAAAAATATATTACGAACGAGATTTTTGCGAAAATTTTAGCGAGTCATAGTAGATAATTATGTGCTTTTGTCCAATGGTGTTATTAGCAACTTCTATCCTTCTGTCCATATTGCACTTGCCCTTTATTGGCCTAAATGACCATCGTATTTAAAGGTGGGACTAATCTTGTTTTAGAAATGGAATTTTTTTGAAGGGTGAGAATTTGATAGTATTATGAAGCAGTATTCTAAAAAGTGTAAAGTGTGAGTAGGCGTGGAGACGAAACTTCAAACTTTACTAGCTTAGGCGAGATCTTATTTTTAATATTATTTTAAATTTTTAATCATTTTAAAAGTCATTTAATAATTAAAATAATACATATTAAATATCTAAAGTTATAAAATACTATATTTATTTAATAATTCCTACAATAAGTCAATCTCCAAGTTTTCGAAATGTAAAAATTAGACATTTTTTATAGTTTCAATTTTCAACTTGGCAAGTTCTACTTAATAGATTTATAAGAACTTCATATATGATTTCAAAATTTTCAACAAAATAATGAGTTTCAAGATAATAATTACATAATGTAGATAATGCTGTAGCTTAAATTTTATTTAAGCTTTTATAAGATAAAGCTATTTTTATTTTTTGTACAGATAAAGTCTTAAAAACTTGAAGTTAAAGTCATATAAAAAGTTTTTTTAAAAATAAAAAAAATTAATAAACTAAAGTCAAATAAAAGGCTTTTAAATAAATGGGAAAAATAAAAAAATAATAATAAAGCGAGCCTAAAGAAGACGAATGAAAGGAAAAAAAAATTAGTCGTTTAGGAATTGAAAAAAAAAATGTTTGGGAGCGAAGTGGGGTGTTTTGCCTAAGCTTCGAACCTAGGCAAGTTT